TGGCAGCCGCACCATGTGACATCCCACCAGCAGTGTATGAGGGTTCTATTTCTCCACATCCTTGCTAACGCTTGTTATATTGTCTCTCTTTTTGGTTCCAGCCATCCTAGTGGGTGTGAAGTGGTCTCTCATTGTGGCTTTTATTTGTATTTCCATAATGACTAATGATATTGAGCATCTTTTCATGTGCTTGTTGACCATTGGTGTATCTTTTTTGGAGACATGTCTGTTCAAGTTCTTCGCCAATTTTCAAAATTGGGTTGTTTGGCTTTTTATTATGATTGAGCTATTTATGTATTCCAGATACCAATCCCTTACCAGATACAGAGGGTGCCAAAAAAATGTATACACATTTTAAGAAAGGAAAAAACTATTACAATTTTAATACTCAATATATACCAATAACAAAAGGTGAATACAAATCACGTTTGACTTCTGCAACTATAAGAGGTGCTCAAAGTGGTTCCCATCAGCGTCCAGATACTTCTGACTACGGCGAACTACTGCTTGAGCAACGTTAACCAAAGTGTCCACTTGTATACATATTTTTGGCACCCAGCACCCCGGTATATGCATTGCAAATATTTTCTCCCATACTATGGGTTGCCCTTTTACTTTTTTTTTTTTAAGAGAACTAGCATTTTTTTTTTAATTGGGGAACAGTGTGTTTTTCCAGTACCCATCAGCTCCAAGTCAAGTAGTTGTTTCAATCTAGTTGTGGAGGGCGCATCTCAGTGGCCCAGGTGGGGATCGAACCGGCAACCTTGGTGTTATGAGCACTGAGCTCTTAACCACCTGAACTAACTGGCTGTCCTGCCCTTCTACTTTTTTGATATTATCCTTTAAAGCATAAATGTTTTTAACTTTGATAGAGCCCAAATTATCTATTTTCCCTTTTGTTACTTGTGCTTTGGATGTCATAGCTAAGAAACCATTTCCTAACCCAAGGTCATGAAGATTTACTCTTGTGTTTTCTTCTAGGGATTTTATAACATTAGCTCCTATATTTAGGTGACTGGTCCATCTTGAGTTAATTTTTGTATATAGTGTGAGGTAAGGGTCCAACTTCATCCTTTACATGTGAATATCCAGTTGTCTCAGTGCCATTTCTTCAGTTCTTTCCCATTGAGTTGCCTTGGCACCCTTGTCAAAACTCTATTGACCATAAAAGTCAGGGTTTATTTCTGAACTCTCAGTTCTGTTCTATTGAGCTATGTATGTGTCTATCCTATGCCAGTTGTACCCCGTCTTGTTCACTGTAGCTTTGTAGTAAGTTTCAGAATCCGAAAGTGTGAGTCCAACTTTGTTCTTCTTTCTTAGGATTTTTTAGGCAATTTTGAATCCTTCAAGTGTTCATATGAATTGTAGGAGCAGCTTGTCAATTTCTGGAAAAAAAAAAAGGCAGCTGGGATTTTAGTAGGGATTGTGTTGAATTTCTTTCAATGATGTTTTGTACTTTTTAGAGTACAAATTTTACACTTCATTTGTTAAATTTATTCCTAAGTATTTTATTATTTTTGATGCTATTGTAAATGAAATTGTTTTCTTAATTTCATTTTCGGATTGTTCATTGATTGTGTATGGAAATACAAATGATTTTTGTATATTGATCTTGTCTCCTGTAACTCTAACTTGTTTATTAGTTCTAATAGTTTTTTAGGGGATTCTTTAGGATTTTATATATACAAGATCCATGTCACCTACAAATACAGTTTTACTTCTTCCTTTCCAATTTGGAGCTTTTTATTTCTTTTTCTTGCCTAATTGCCCTGGAGAGGACCTTCAACACAATATTTCATAGAAAGGGTAAGGAGTAGACATCCTTTTCGTGTTTCTAATCTTGAAGGGAGAGTACTTTCAGTCTTCCATCATTAAGTATGATAGTAGCTGCAGGTGTTCAGTAAATGCCCTTTATCAGATTGAGAAAATTCCCTTCTACTCCTAGTGTGTTATGTGTTTTTAACATGAAGGGGCATTTAATTTTGTCAGATGTGTTTTCTGTGTCTATTCAGATGATTATATGGTGTTTGTCCTTTTTTTTATTGATCTGTCATATTACATTGATTGATTTTCAGATGTTAAACCAACCTTGCATTCCTGGGATAAATCTCACTTGGTCAGAGTATGTAATAATTTTTATGTGTTAACTTTATTCAGTTTGGTAGTATTTTTGGGGGGTATTTTTGCATACCATCGGTATTATAAATATCTATATTCATAAGCAATACTGGCCTGTGGTTCTTTTTCCTTGTGATATCTTCGTCTGGTTTGGGCTATTTTTATCTTTTAATGTATTAGAGAGTATGGGACAGGAGAGGCTGATCAGCTCTCCTCCTGTGCTCACCCACATCTGGTGAGAAGGGAAAGACAGGAGCTCTGAAGCTGAGTCCAGACGGTGTCCAGCAGAGGTACCAATGCAGTGGACACAGCCTCATCTGTAAAATGGGATAGGAATCCTCGCCAACTGCCTGGAGGTGGTGGGCTGGGCCTGCTGGCTTCTTTGCAGCATCTTCTGTTCTGAGCCCCGTGATTCCAGGACAGTGGGTGCACCAAGGGAGACACCACATACTGGCCTTTAGGGAAGAAGGGAGGACCGTGGTGGTCAACCTCTGAGGTCCCTCCTGGCTCGAAAGCTCTAACAGCTTGAATCATGATAACTTCCTGAGCAGCTCACTCTCCCTGTTAGGTAACTGGCACAGATTTCATGGAGAAAAGGAGAGTGAAAAGGCGCGTTTTTACCTAGAGGCCTCCCAGGTTCATGGTCAGGCCCTTGTTGAATGATGAGTGCCTGGTAAGCACAGGTTCAGAGAAGACTCTGAAAGAGCCGGCCCCCTCTTGGGGCCCGAGGGAAAGCAGAGCCCTGGGGTGAGGCCTGGAAAGCAGCAGGTCCTTTAGGAGCAGAACCGGGCCTGGGGTGGGCAGCAGCTCTGCGGGCCTCTTCCACACCTGCAGCAGAGGGGGTGGCCCTATAAACGAGAACCATGGAGTCCCAGCCTTTCCCACCGCAGCCAGGGCTGGGGCGACCAGCTGGCAGCATGGCACGGTGGGACTCTGGCAAATCCTGTGCCTCAGGTGTCTTGTTAAATAGTCATCAGAGTCCCTGTGTGACCTTGAGGAGGTTACTTTCTTCCCTAAGTCTCAGAGTGTAGCCCGGGTACACACACCAGGCAGCTGCGGTGTTGGGAGCCCTGGCCCCTGGGTCTGGTCGCCTCCAAGGAGTTAGCGGCCCCTCCTTCTGCCAACTCTCCGTTCCCACCTGGGACAGCCAGTGCTATTTCTGTGCTGCAGCTTAGCACAGAGGCTTAAGGTATCTGTGAGGAAGCCCCAAGTCAGGCAAGGCAAGAAGTGAGTGGGCTGCCACTGCCCGCTGCTGCCGAGGCATCCTGTGCTGACAACTCCGCTTTCACAGTCTCCCTCTGGCCCCCCACTGATCATCGAGCTGGGGAGGCGGCCCTCGGGAAAAGCCGGCATCTGTTGGGTAACCAGCTCAGTTGCCGTGCAGGGTATGATGTAATCCTGGATTCTGTGGTTGCTAGGAAAATTCTGCCTGCATTGATACTGCATGGTCCCAGGACTGAGGCGAGAACAGCGTGTTCCCGAGAAGAGAGGGGAAGCGCTCGTAGGGCTTCCCAAGGAAAGGAGCCCCATCCAAGGGAGTCAGACGATCTGAGCTGCTTTCCAGACGCTTATGCCCTTCTCAGGAAGAGAGGTCGTGCTGGTGTCAGCAGAGCCCCGTCAGGCAGGGTGGGGCACGTGTGGCAGGGTTACAGCACCTTGTGCTCTGGTGCCAAACAGAAGACACGTCTGTGATGTTCCACCCTGGTGGCCGGGCCCTCCTCCTGCAGCACGCGTGGTGGGGAGCCCCCTCCGCACTTCCATGAGGCAGGACAGTTAGCAAGGAGGTCAGTAGAAGGCTGCTAGTGTGAGAGACAGACTGCCCTGTGTGTGGACAGAGATGGCCAACTCCGTGCCTGGGGGTGGGGTGCAGAATCCTGCCGTCTCCCGGGCTCCGTTTCATAAGCCAGAAGCCCCACTGCCACCACCCACACCAGCTCACCCTTCGTGGCCTTTCTGTGTCTGCTCCTCCCGTCCTCCCCTCCCAGGAGAATCCCCAGTTAGGACAGAAAAGAAGTGGGTCAGAAAGCCCACGGGCAGCACACTGTTCTTGTTATGGGCACAACCCAATAACGGTCCTTTAGAAAAAGGGGAGAAAGTGGCAGGACTCAGGGAGGCCCAGGGCCCAGGAGGCTTGGTGGGACCCGCCGGTCACCTCACCTGCCCTGCAGAGTCTGTGGCTCAGTCAGCTCCTTCCTTCCCCAGCAGCTCGGGGGGTGGAGGGGAGTGTCAGTATTTCAAGCACTTACCCTCCTCCCTCCTGCCTTTTCTGGCTGCATGTCAGAGCCTGTCTTATGGAAAACAAGACAAAGGAAGTGATTTCATGAGTGCCTGGACCAGAATCTCAAATCCACGATTAAAAACAACAATAATAAAGATTATGGCCATTATCTGTCTCTGTAGGAGCCAGGCTGGCTGCAAGCTGGAAGTGGGCCTGGCCACGCTCCTTGGAGCAGGTGTTTGGACAAAGAGGAATGGCTGTTAGAAATCATGATGAACAAGGTCCTTCAAAGGGATCAAACTAAGAGCCTCAAGAAGAAAGAGGGAGGTTCCCAAGGGCCCCTGGGCTTGGGTGACCTTGGAGCAAGGGATGTGAGCTGGTCCCTGCTCCAGGAACCTGCCCTGGGTTTTCCTCACACTCACCTCTTAGCTGTGCAGCCTTGAGCAAGCCTCTGAGCCTCAGCCCTGCAGCCCTGCAGCCCAGTTGCTAGCATGTCCCCTGGCCAGGCTGGAGGGAGGGCCCGGAGGGGAGGTAGGCTTCCTTGGAAGGCACCTCTCCGTGGTGGACTGATGCCGCACCCAGGGGCCGCAGCCTCCTTGCCTGGTCCCAGGCCGCAGCCCATTGCCAGAGGCCCACCCAGCAATTCGCTTTCCCTGGTCTGCAGGTGCAGAGGATGTGGTGATGGCGTTTTCCAGATCGGAGACGGAGGACCGGAGGCAGTAGCTGTGAACCCCTTGGAACACCCTGGAAGCTGGCAGAGGCCAAGAGATCTGTGTGGACCTTGGCCGGCTGAGAGGCAGCAGGTCACCTTCCCCACCCCCGCCCCACTCTACCCCACCCCACCCATGGCCACTCAGCGGGGCTGGCATCGAGGGAGACACCAGTGGCGAAGTTATGATTGGCTTAAAGGGATGGACTCATGATTGGCTGCAGGAAGAAACCTTTTTATTTTTAAATCTTGACCAATGGAAACCTTTTATTTTTATTTCTGACTTATTTTTTTTTAAATTTGCAACTCGGGTATATGGCTTCCCAGGGAGCTCTCCGAGCTCTGGTGCTTTATTTAGGTCACTTTTTAGGAATGTGAAGAGGTCCGATTGGCTGCTTAAACTGGAAATGAATTTTGATTGGCTGACTAATGGGAAACTTTTTTTTTTTTTCTTTGATTGGCTGCAGGTGTTCTGCTGGGAGCAACAGCTTCTCTCTTTTGAATGCTGAAAACAGGGTTTGGGACATTGGTTGTTATATTTGACTTGAAAAAAAAAAGAAAGAAACCAAGTGCGCTTTGCAATATTTATTACACAAAGAGCTTGCTGCTGTTTTCACGTGCTTTGTTTGTGTTTGCATTTGATTGGCTTTCGATCCATGTGTTTGGTTTCCCATTTGCTCACCCCTGACACGCGTTGCCATGGCCTCACCCCCACTCTGCTGTGCAGTCCCTCTGCAGCCCGGGGTCCACCTGGAAAATGCATTTGCTGTAATGACCACACCTGGCTCCACCAGCAAAGGGACCTCAAGGACCCCAAGCAGGGTCCACAGCTGGAAAACGCAGTTCCCAAGGAGGTTTGTATTGTCCTGAAGGAGCAGCCCAGAGCTTAGCCGTGACCATTAGCCAGGATTTATGTGCCTCACTTCCAGGAATTGGCAGCCAGCCAGCTTTCCTAGGTGAGAATGGAATTGCTCGACCGTGTCCGAGCCTCTCCGGCCTGCCTGTGCTGAGCAGAGGCGCTGCCCTGGGCGGCTCTGCCTTTTGCCATTCCCTCCGTACCCCACTTCCTGAGGCCTCATCTGGGGGCTCCTCCTGTAAAGGGCAGGAGCTGCTCCCATTTGTGAGCGCCCACAGCGTAACCCAGGCCTTTGCCCTGGAGTTCAGAACCCACACAATGGCCCCAGCTTGGATCGCAAAGCCCAGGAGTTCTTTGGCTCCAAACACCCACCCCTGACCTCCGGCCAGGCTCCCGAGGTGTCTGCTGCAGGGACAGTAGGTCCTGGCCAGCTGGAGTTCCCTCACCCGAGGCCTGCCCCTCCCTCCGGGCCTTCTGAAGGGTCTCTCAATGTCAGCCTGGAAGGGACAGTGGCATTGTTTATTTATGAAGTGCTTCTCTGGGCAAGGCCCACCAGGCTGGTCCTCAACCCTGACCCCAGAAACACACTGCAGAACAGCGGTCTTTGAATGGCTGTGGGTACCCCAAGTCTTCCCACCTGCCCTCCCCCGTCCCCTGGAGGCGGCCTGCCCTCTCCCTGCACCTCTCACAGGAGTGGAATTTGGGTGGGGATGGAGAAAGAAGCAGGCCTCTGGGATGGGGACGGGGACGGGAAGCCACCACCCTCCCCCTGAGGTGGAAGACTGAGGCCCCCTTCTTGCCTGTTTACCCAGAGCCAGGAGAACTCTCAGAGCCAAATTTCCCCCTTCTCAGGGCCTGGGGCTGTCGTGGAGCACAGGAGCTAAATGCCAGCGTGTCCTAGGCCTGAGCCCTGGCGAGCCCTACGGTTGGTGGGTGCTTCACGGTGCTGAGCCTTGCCCCAGGAGGACTCGCGTGTCGTGGCCTGGACACCGTGTCCTCCACACACGGGGCCTGGCCCTGGTCAGTTGACCGTTAACTGTAAAGGGTGTTGATCCCCAGGAGATGGGGACTGTGGGGACCCCAGCAGGGGCCCAAGAGCATCTTCCTTCTGGGAGGCAGTGCGTGTGTGCACGTGCATGTGTGAGCGCACACACACATACACACTCACATGCACACACTCAGCTCAGTGGCCTGCAGCTCCAGCTGAGCCCCTGGGGAAAGGTGAGTTTTTTCAGCCCTTCTCTCCGCCAGGTCATAATACCTGTTATCAGGTGTGGATGCCAGGGTTGCTGGCTGCCCCCTCTTTGTACCTGTAGCTTTTATACAGGGTCTGTGTCATGGCCCATGGTGTGTTTTCTGCCCCAGCCTGTCCTGGTCAAGGTCATGGGCCTTCCTCTTGTAACAGTGACAGCCCTGATCTGTCTCATCTTCTGAAGAAAAGTGAAAGTGTTGCTGCGGCTTCTTATTTCAACTAAAAATATATATGTTGGAGAGAAAAATGACAATAAAGATTTTTAATAGCTTGGTGCGTGAGCTCAGTTCTCTCCCTCGGAGTCGGGTGTATTCAGTGTTTTCCTGCATAACATGGGCTGTGTTGCTGGGTCCCTCCTTCCCCAAGGAGGCACCAAGGAGGGACAAAAACACCAGCTTGCTCGTTTAATTGTCTGTCATCTGGAGTGGAGCTCGGGGTTTGGAAGAATTTCCAGGTCCACCCAGCCCAGCGGACAGGTCCGTAGGAAGGTCGATCCCCCTTTTTGACCCGAGATCCCAAATGTCATCCTAGATTGGTCTGAGGTCAGTATTCCTCAGAGGTCACCTCACCCTCCAAGCTCTGAAGCAGACACCGAGCACCCCATAAGGCTGAGGGGACCCTTCCATCCTAGACACCCTAACATCCTGTCTGATGGCAGTGGTTCTCAGAATGCTTGTAACAAAAGTCCAAATGGAATATCCGTCTCTGGCATCACCCCAGAAATGGAAGATTTATTGATGTTCAGGTATAATTCAAGTTTGGAAGGTGAACTCATTTATGCTTTAGGAATTTTTGCTTTGGAAGCATGTTCTAGAACTTTTCATTTCCACCCTTGATCATCCCATTTAAGTCTTTTTTTTTTTTTTGCCATTTACATGGACTCACGCTTGTATTTCCTTTACAAAGAGTTTCATTGGGTGCTAAGTGCTATGGGGTGTTTAGAATATGTTGAAGTAAGGTACAATCAACAACATTCAACTTTAGTGCTGGGAGAGGTGATGGAGGTTGTCCAACAGCCCATGCAGTGGCCAGATGTGTGAGTCCCCTCTGAAACAGCTCTGAAAAGGGCTTGTCCCACCTTTACTTGAATACCCTTGAGGACTAGGGAACTCACTACCTTACAAGCTAGTGCATCCCATTTTCAGGTAATTTACAGTCATCCTGATATTGAATTGGTCTGTCTCTGTAACTTGCTTTTCCAAGAGTTTACACTTATTGAGGGAACGATAAGACAGCTATGTTAACCAGAAACTACATAGAGACACATGTCCAGGGCTCACGTTAGGTGTAGAATCCCGCCTCTGCCACCCCAGTGTTCTGAGTGGCATTGTCTGTCAGTAGTTAACTTTGCAGTGAATCAGATCTTCTAAGGTGGGCCATTGAGCAAGAGTGTGTGTGTGTGGGGGGGGTGCTGGCTGGCCCTGGTCCCACCTGCCCAGCCCCCAGCACAGACCCTGGAACTGGAGCTGAGCGGGAGGAGTCCTCCCAGAGACTCCCCAGGCCTCCAGAAGGAATCAGGCCACACAAGAAAGATGAGTGAGGCTATTTCAGCTGGCCAAGAGAAGGGACAGTGCTGGGTCTTTCAGAGTCCTTCAGCCAGCAACCTGCTGGGTCCACCTTCCTAAGCACAGGTGCATGCGGCCAGTAATGACCCCAACGGGCAGGATTGGGACTGCAGAGACCAGAGCCAGGCTGAGCCTGGGGGAGGCCAGGATGGGCTGAGAAGGGAGGCAGGGCACCCTGCCTTTTGTTGGTGTTTCCCCGCCCTGGGGGGAGGGTGGTGGAGAATGAATGAAGTGCTTCATCTCCCTGTCCAGGCAGGTGAATAGCAGCTGTGAGAATCCAGGCTGCTCCAGCCTTTGAACTGGAAGGACCCTTTGTAGCAGCGAAAATGATCCCTCCCTGGCACCTGGTTCAATGGCGGGGGTGGGAGCCATCTTCCGGGGCGGGAGCTCTGTGGGTCCCAGGGGACTTGGCCACCAGCCACCTGCCCTGCCTTCCTGGGAGGGTCTTCCCTCTTCTCCCCCCTCCCCCCAACCTCTCTCTGTGTTGCTCATGGCCAGCTGCCCCTTTCCTTTCCCTGGAGGATAGAGTAGGCCCAGGCTAACCTGAGACCATGTTTAGAAAACACTTCTCTGTCCAACGAAGGAACTTTCTCTTCTGGGGCAACAGCTGGGTGTTAAGGAGATTTTGGAGAGCCTGGGGGACCATGGCCGCTAGTCCTAATTTAAAGAAAGGCCTCCTCAAAGGACAAGGGCAGTGAAATGCTTTTTGAATATCAGCCAGTGCCTTTTCCTTCACTTTTCTCCTTGACATTGGAGCCACCCCTCACCTCTCTGTTGGTCTCCCATGGATGGTTTGGAGGTCAGGGAACTGTTGACCTGAGCCCCACCCTCCCTGAGCCTCTTCCCTAGGGAAGAAGCAGTGTGTGCAACAGGTGGCTGCCCTGTTTGCACACCTGTGGGAGCCCCACCCCGCCACCTGCACAGACCCAGAGCCTCTGAGAGTTTCTGCCTCCTGACCCTTAGCCGTGGCCATGGGAAGAGGTGGGTTTTCACAAACATCTTTTATGCAGGTGTCTCTGTGTTCCAGTTTCTTTTCCTTCCTTCCTTCCTTCCTTCCTTTCTTTCTTTCTCTTTCTTTCTCTTTCTCTTTTTCCTTCCTTCCTTCCTTCCTTCCTTCCTTCCTTCCTTCCTTCCTTCCTTCCTTCCTTCCTTTCTTTCTCTTTCTCTTTCTTTCTTTCTCTTTCTCTTTCTCTTTTTCTTTCTTTCTCTTTCTTTCTCTTTTTCTTTCTCTTTCTTTCTCTTT